TATTATTGAAGAGACAGATCTGCTCCGGACGTCGTCGCGCCGTCTACACTCGAGTGCAATTGATGGTATTCCTCCTGTTTTGTAATCAATTCAATTTTAAAAGCGACAAGCGGAAAAAGCTTTGATTCGAGTTTTTCAATTATTGAATTATTTTCAAGACAACCGAAAGAGTTTTTTTTTTAAAAAAAAAACGACATAAAATTTGCTATTTCGTTATTTTTATTCATAAAAAAAAGTATACATTTGCAATATTACTTTCTGTTTTATTGTACTTGAGATCTTTATTTTACATTTTGCCGCTTTACAATTTAAAGCTGTATACATGTACTCTCATTTTATAAAATATTTTCAAAAATGTTTGATTGTAGTCTAAATACGCTTAGCTACATTGTTAGCTTTTAGTTACCGAGTTTTCTAAGAATGTATTAGTTAATACTGCGTTAGAAATGCACTTCGTGTTATGGCCTCATTTCATTGTTCAAGTCAGACATTGCACTGGGATGTGTGTGAATAAGCTTTTGCTAGACTATTGGTATGGATCACGCACTCTTACTTGTTTAAAACCGCTACCTTGTGTGGTTAACGTCGCAACAGTACACTATTGTATGATGTTATGTGGGTTACAAATCGTTTGAATGATACGATGACATCTTAAGATACTTTTAATTTTGAACATCTGGCGATTGAATTGGATTTTAGCAATAAAACACTACGTTCAATAGAAATGACCACCGAAGCGTTTCAAAAATTCATAAACGAAACGATTGTTTGCATTTTCCTTGCCCGTTATTGAGCAACGGAATCTAATAATTTATATTGTTTTAATAAAATGCATGGTTATCATTATAAGCTACCATAACATTGCATTGTGATACTACAATGTGGGACGTAAGACACTCCCAAAGTTCAATAAGTACATTTGCATAAAGATATATAGTACATTAAATAGCCCACTGTGTTTTGTCTATATGATTATTTCAGTCCTAGTTCAATGTCATTGCAGTTATATCATCACCTACGTCGTGCATTGTATGCAAATATTACAATTAAACGGTCTACATGCACTTGCATTCGGACTGTAAATGTATCAAAACTGAGTGATTATTGACTATTAAAGCAACGGTTCCTTTATTGGCAGCACTGATCCTAAAAACGGATTGATAAGATTCGAGTAAAGTAAATTACTAACTTTTTTAAATACCAGTCAATATAAAAAATTACTTTTTGTTTGATCACAACATTTTTTTACGCGCACGTCTTCTAAATATTTAAAATAATTATTTGATTTGATAATCAAACCACAATTTTACATTTATATACAAAAATATTAGTCATTGAGAAAAGAAAATCATTATTTTTATACAAATTAAGAAATTTTCGTTTAAATTTAATTATTTTTGTTATTATTAATCAGATATATGTCTATGAACTTTACAATCCATTTATTTGAGCAGCTTACAATATTTCAATACGCATATTTTTGTTGCAACATATCTTGTTTATAATCCCGTGGATATAAAATCAAGAGGGTTGTTCTGGAAGACGTTAATTTGGAGTAAAAGAAAAGAAACTAGAAAAACAAGTTTTGTATTAACAGACCATTTTGATAGATCATCTTTGTGATTCATTATTGGAAAATATTCTTAAAAGTAATACGAGACAGTAGAGTTTTGTATTTTTAATTGAACGGTTGTTTAGTTGATTCGAATTAAAAGTATTTTAATTATAAATAGTTAAATTTTTATGTTAGACTAAAATTGACAGTTGATTTCTTTAACAAAAAATCACAATAAATTATGTCTAATTTTAGGATGAGGTAGTATTATCTAAGGTACTTTTCGATCAAAGGGTTTGTATAAGTAGTATTGACTAAATTAATATAAGAATTATGTTAATTTAGATATTACTATTTATATACTAATCAATTAGCTTATGTTACAAGTTTTCCTACAAAACCTCATAATGTTCCTTTTTAAAAGTACGTTTAATAATAAATATAATGATTTCATTGGAGTCATTTTAATATCCCCATTACGTGTTTGCAAAAGGTTTATAAAAACTTACAATAATCCTAACAAATCCATGCGTGAATGATTTGTTGATGAATCACTTACACTAATGCTCGGCGATATGTGTAAGATGTACACAGAGCATTTGTTTATTACTATGTTTAATGCTCTTATGGTATCTCGTAAGATTCTTTGTATTTCTTCGTCCGTCGCACATGGATAAAATGTTATTATGACCAGCAAATCCGGTTTGAAAATGTTAAAAAAAAAAAAAATGTACATAATTATAATATTAATTTTGTTGCGTTTATAGATTTATTATAATAAAATATACATGAAACGTATATTATTATGGTTATTACATAAACTGGCTTTTTCTTCCATACAACTTGTTTGTGTAAGTGTATTTCTTCCATCCGCCCGACTGATGTCCTTCCGTCCATAAAACATAAATATACTTGCATGTAGAAGTATACATACACACAAATGCATTGGAGATAATTAAACGCTGGACTCGTTCAGTCGGCGTTCAGCCCGAAGGAGGGGAATTAAAAATGCGGGTAGGGCTTCTCCGTTGCTGCAGGTTCAACAAACTCTCTGGTTCGGCGGTCGACCGGTTTTCGAAGAAATTCAAATCTCTGAACGATCAAGAAGAAGGGGACAGAGAGGAAAGGACCGGTTCGTTGGAATTTTGACAGCTTTGACCCTCTAGGGGCCCCGAAACCGAACGATATTTATGTACCTTAATAATGAACATTAGGTTACAACCGATACGTCTGTGTGTTTTTTCCTATCTATTAAAAATCCATCTGATTTTTTATCACTACATATTACAATCTATCCAGTTTTTACCGGTCATCTTGTGTCTTTTGTGTGCATACGAGAACTATTGAAGTTTTGTTATACATATACTACCTTTTGACAAGATTCAACGTTTTCCAGTTTTCTCTAATCTAACAGTATAGCATGAAAACTTGTTGAATAATCGACCTAACTCGTTTGTTGATAAAATGAAAATAAATAATTTATTGTGTAGTTTGGGACTTTGGCAACAATTTAATAATATAGTAATGAAATTCTAAATGTTCTTTTCGCGCTCAAAATCAACAAAATATATTTTTATAATTGTCAGTTAAATTCTATTAGTAAAAATAACTATTACAAGGACTAAACGGAATATGTCACTTTCATTTTTACAAAGGTAACCATTGATTTTTACTTTATTTTCAACGACTTATTTAATTAATAAAAAACTCAAATGGTGAATGTTTAAGGAAAATATATAATTTTCTCTAACTTTACTTTCTTTAACGATTATTGATCGACAACGACCGTTATGTGTCTTGTGTTTAATCATTGACATAATGCTATGGTTTTTATTTTTCAAGTACCTATTCATTGGTGTACCAGTACACACAGCCTTTTATAAATCTTTTGTTTTAGGGAACTGAGAGAGGGATAAATGAGTGTGTATAAAAGGAAAAATTTATATTATAATGTTGTACCCTACACTGTAGCGGGCCCTTGGACCCTTTAACTCATTGTGCATGCGGCAAAAACAATGCAATATGTCCGATATCGTATGCTTTTGTGCTAGTGTAATTATCTGATCATATAAAACATTATACTATAAGCAGGACACAGCTGTTGGGCGGCCAAAAAAATCGCAGAAAAAAAAATTACGCCGAATAAATTATGTTTTATTGTAATATCTATAGGATAGTTATAACGCTTGAGAGTTTGGGAGAAATGAATAGACTAAGCGATATGATTGCCTTAGTAAAAAAACTATCAAAAATTAATTCGTTCCTGGCTAAAAAAATAATGATTTGTCGGATTTCCAACGAGGTTCTATATGAATGTAGACTAAGGGTTAGTGTGTTATATCTGCTCCATGAAAAAAAAAGTATCACGACTTTTGACACTGACAAGGGTGAATATATTTTTTATGAGGTGTTAGACCGTATGAAAGCGCTCCCACCGAGTAAGTCGGAAGGAATGAGATGTACGAATAGAAAAAAAAAATGTCCCAGAAACAAAAGACAATTAATAATAACGCCGAGAAAAAAACAACTGCAACTCACCCGACCCCCGGTCGTTTTAAACGTGTCTTTGTCCCGGCAGAACTAGAAAAAAAGGGTTGACTATTTTTTTAGTTAGAAAAAAAACTTCTCCTGGCAGATGCGATAACGCTACAGCGCATTTGCATAACCGACAAAAAAACTTCTAAAAAAATAAGCGTAATACAAACGACAATAGAGTAGATGGCACAGCATTTATTGAATATAAAAACATAAATCATAGCCATAAATGTTAATTGTACATTAGTCGAAATATTATTTTTCTCAATAAATTCGTTAAAACGTTGAAAAATTAATGGAAAAATATTTTCTGGATGAATTGGTATATAGATGATGACTATGTGTTGTTACTAATTTACAAGATCGCTAAACTCGTTGTGGCCCCTTTGGTATTTCCCTCGTTTTAATTGTAGAATTTCCACTGAGAACACTATTGAAGACAAATATCAAAAGAAATTTCAGTGATGTATACCGACGTGACTGGTGAATTTTTACTCTCAAATATAACGACCAAACAATGGCTGGGTGGTTATTAAAAGTCGCTTTGCTGTACTGCTTACAACCGAATCTCAAAACAACATAATCATGCATAACTGCACTTTTGACATTTTCTAATGGCGTTATATTAAGCCGTCATCCATCTCATATCAAAACTTTTACTAGGAGATGAAAATTTATCACATGTGAATGTAGTTTCTGCGACTTGGAAATTGGTCACTGTAAATTGAAACCTATCAAAAGCTAAAGTACCACTTTTATATTTATCTACTTTAAGTAGCTCGTAAAACGTATTTTTAAGATTTTGCAATGATACCTTTATCTATTTTTGAATCATTAATTTAATATCTAGTTTTCACCTGCATCTAAGTCAATTATAGTTATTAAGACGCCTTGCGTGCATTTCCTTCGTGACCATACAGCCGCAAGAGTATGGAACCTTAAATTTATGACTAGCGTAGGTATCACAATAATGGTATAACAATATACACTTATTTTACTGTTGCCGGCAAGCGGATGAGTGTTATAGGTGTACAGTCGAGTACCCATTTTAATTGATGCGGCATTCATAAAGTATAGGTGTACACACTTGGAACCGGCGGTGTTAATTAACTTCTCGTTTTATTCTTTAACCCAAAGCCAGTCATCTTGGCAATTAAAAAATACCAGTCGCGTTATTGCACCACATTGCTTTCGACTTGCATTGAACTATGGTTTAATTTTAGGAATTTAGCATGTGTCGTAATACAAAACAAAACACTAAAGGAAGTGTAAAGTAGGTACGAAGATTATGATGAGTCTGTTGTCTGGATATTCACGTACGTACAGCAGTTACCGTGCTCGGTTGATTTATTTAAAATATTTTTTACAATAATGGTAACGTAACACCATCACACATGAAAAAGCCACAGTTTAAATTGACACATTTCATTATTCTAAATTCAAAATAGCCGAGGAATAGCTTTCAGTTGAACAATTTACAATATCACAATTTCCAACTTACAGGTTTCATTAGAATCTAAGACATTCTACGATTGCGTTCATTGCTTTCTAAAGATTAATTCTCAAGCCTCTCTTATTCCTGTTAGTTATGTATGTTGATGTCAACTAATATCTATCGCTTTATTATTAAATTTGACGACGCCCTAGAGGATGACAATACGTTAAGTATTGGTGTACCTTCTTGACCATTCTGGACTTTTTCATAGGATGTTACTATCATTCAGCATTTGGGTGCACCAGGTAATTATTTATGATATTACTTTTAATGAAAATTAGCAGTTTGTATAATATTGTTATTACACTGAGATTAATAATAAGGAATATTCCTCGTTCTGCTTAAAGGCTGTGTTTTGATCATTTTTAAATATATAGTGAACAGGGTTGCTAAAATTGTTTTAAAAAAACTTATTTGAAACATAAATAAACAGTTTAACTCGTTTAAGATAAATAAAATCAATGTAATTTTTGAAATTTTTGAATAAACGTGACGGTGACATAAAAGATTTGGATTTATTTTTAATATATTTAGAAAATATATAACAAGTATAGTAAATTCTACTTAAAGTTATCGTATGTTTTCTTGATTAAAATATGAAAAATTAAAGAATTTTCAGAAACAAGAATCTGTACTAAATTAATTAATAACAGTTGTATACATTACATATGTAAAAGTACTTTTTATAAAGAAAAATGAGTTCTACCATGGGTTTTTAATTTTGATTCAAATACACTTTTTTTTTTTATTTTTTAGACAAAATTTGTAAATTGTCAAAATTAATTTATAAAGACTTAGCCCCAATGATATCAAACTATATTACAAGATTTAACTTTTAAGTTAAACCAAGTTGTTCTCTGCTCAAATAGTTTTCATAACATTGGCAAAGTGATTTTGTGTGTATTTTATTTGTTTGAAACTTTCATGTTATAACAAAATATTCTCAACACATCAGTCTATTTTTTAGTCATTAATTTCTTGTTTTACTAGCTAAACTTTGTAAATACATTTGAATGCTTCGTAAGTCATTGTATATGATGATATAATGATTAACAGACACAATTCACAAAAAAATCAATGAAGTTGTTAATCAGACAAATTTTAAGACGAGTAGAAATTTACTATTCATAGTGTAAAACCATTTTTCTAGTGAACTAAAATGATCATTTCTAAAATAAAGTACTGCTCTGAACATTTTTCTTTTCTTTAAATTTAAATTTAATGTTTTAATTATAAATTAAAATTTATGATTTTAACTGGCTTGACTTAAAAATCATCTGCTTATTAAGAATTCTAGTTGAAATTAAATTTAACGAAATAATACGTAAAAATTAGAACAGACGTTTGATGTTAGAAAAACTGTTCATTAGTATTTACACAAGAGTTGAAATTAATCAGTTGAAATTGGTCATAAAGTTTAACAATGTGTTTTCTCACCTGACTGAAGATTTCTTCGTTTGTATAACCTCAGTGTATCCATATTTTTGCTTCAATTAGCAGGATAAAATTCATAACTTCAGGGCATTCTTGGCACGTAAGTAAATTATTTTAACCTCACTAGGCCCAAGGGTACATAATTATTATGTTTTCGCACAAGAACCTGCTAGTTATTTTGACATTATTTATTTCTTCGATTTTATTAACACTAAGCAGTGTAACATTTTGAATATCAAAACGGTCCTTTATATTGTTATTAGTTTATGTTTGTTCAATTATAAACAGTTTGTTTATTATGATGTTTCACTAATTTGTTATGTTTGACTAGTTTCTGCACCCTGTCCTAAGAAGTGCCTTCGATTCCTTTTGACTAATTAAAACACTCGAGGTACGACGAGCATATGTTTATCAATTCAACTGCTAGAATTTGAACTACGATAATGACTAATAACGACCTTTAAGAGCGTATCACGAAGCCCTACAGTACTGCAATTCCTATACGTTATACATGTTACCCCCGAGGGTTGTCCGAAAAATAAAATGTGTATATTATAACGACTTGGCGGAGGAGATACCATCTATCTCTTTTTATTTTACCCTAATTCTCCCGAAGGAGGTGATGATTACGATGACGATAATAATAATGATGATACATTTGTATAGTGCCGTTTACTTTTTTTGTGTATTGTCCAGGTGCATATTATTTCTCGGTCATGTTTATACACCAGCACGCAAACAAAACAACAGTTTGGCGGTCAGTTAGACTATCAGCTACTCGCTATTAAAATAATAACATCACACGAGCGTGTTTCTCCTGTTTTTTTTTTTTGTTTCCTAGGAGGTGTTTTTATTTTTGCACGATAAATGGGACCCGTGGGTAATAATGGTTATGAGATAGTAAAATAAAATTTTATACCACATAAATGTGGTATAATAGTTCTTAATTGTGACTGTGTACAAAGTATAATTTCGCTTTAGTTTAAAAAGAGATATACTACATCACTCACATTATCACATTTTTAAAAAAATTAACTTGAAAAAACCATTGGATATTTTTTTAATACAGACAATTTATGTTAATTGGATAATCAAGTATTAAATGTGTTTACAAAAGTGGATTTTAGTTTAAGTACTCCGACGGATTAACTGATTGTATCGTTTAAAAAACAATATGAATATAATTATATTTACACAACAATTGAACTGTAGTAAGCTATGAAAGTATCGCAACAGTTATTCTTGTAAGTTTTTATCTTTTTTATATTTATACAAATATTTTTTTAAAATCGCAATACAAATTTAAAAAAAATGAAATAAAGTCAATTTTACATTAATAAAGATAATAAACGACACAAAATTTCAGTTTTAAAATTGTCTTATCAACTGGATGTGTCATCGAGACAGGAAGTTTAAAATTGATTTGTTCTCTACGCGAGCCATTTGTTAAATTATATCAGTAAACGATAGTAAGTCATTTTTTAAAGTCACGGTTTTACGTGTTCAACGATCCGTGAGTTGGTTCTAAGTGCACTGTAAGACATTATATATCCACAACGATTAACCTAATATAATTGTGGCGCTTTGGTAGGATGCAACTTATTAACCACATCAATTATTTTCATAAAAAACTATTACCATGATAATTCATTATTACACAAACATAAAATTAAAAAGTGTTATTTTTGAGCTACGATATCTCCGATATGAATAATTTAACAATTAATCTAATTTAAAAATTTAGCAAAATATTTAATTTAAATGTACAATGAGATTTTCGGTCAAATAGTCTTAACGAATCATTCATAAAAAGTCAGTTCAAATAACAAAACTAAGAACCATAACATAATAAAGATTTAATTTGTTAAGATTTTAAAAAATTACTATTTGTAATGAACAGTTTGTACTTTGCTTTGTGCTTTATTTTCCAACCGAAACAAGCATGTTATAATAGATTTTTAAACATTTTACTAATTAATAGTTTATAAGTGAAATATCGTGTTTTACATAGATTTTGTAATTATAATAGACAGATTATAATTTTAGACTATTTTTTTTCGCACAAATATGATTTTTCATTATAAAAATAATTTTTAAAAGCAATTAAAATGAACACATTATATTTATGTTTTCAGCCATAAAAATCATTGTGCTCGTGTTGTCTGTAAACTTTATATAATCTGTCAGTCTCATTCACTTCAATTGATAATGAAACTCGGCAAAAACCACTAAATTGTGTCCGGGACGTAAATCAGATTTTAGTAAAATAAAATGATGAATATTTAATAGAAATATAAGTTTAAAATATTAATTACACTATTTAATAATCAATTGTAATGAAATATTAGAAATAAATGCTACTGTTATTATAAAATAAGTATCAATTAAAAAATAAAAGGGCAACTATGAAGTACAAATTATTCAAAACTGCAGATTACAATCATCTGAGAGAATTCTCATTATGAAATACAGTTATCAATTAACATGATTGAATGTTTTATAACTTATACGTTGACCACGTATTGTATAAATGACACCGTGGTCAATGATCCGTTGTAATCTTTCAGAATGACAAGGAGAGATAGCTTAAGCAGTTAATCGTGTTAGAATATTTTACATGTTTGTTTGTTCTTGATGCTAAATTTGCTGCCCAATTGAATATTCAGGAACTTAGCCAAACCATTTAAAGTTTTGTTCTCCTTTGCAAACTAACAAACGTAAACATAAATACCTTGTTTGACATGTATTGAAATTTATGAACAAAATCACCACAGCCGCGTATTGGGTTTTAGATATTAGATATTCGTGAACGGACCTATTTTATAATATCTGCATTGGTGTTTGTGTGCATTTTTTAAGAAACATCAACCGCACCCAAATACCCCCGTGAATAATGCTAATGAACTCGTTGGTGGGAGGAAGGATAGGTCGGTCTATAAATCATATAGTTGGCATGTTGTGACCACTACTGATGGCGCTCGAGTTTTTGAAAATTAACATAGTAATAACACTTTTTTAGATATTTTTTCTTATTGTGTACTTAATTTTACACATTTCATTGTACACAATTAAGTCCCAACTTAAGTTTTTCGTGACTTGAAGTCAGTGGCTAACGAGTAATGGTTGTTGCTTAATTTTTGCTTCTATAAATGTTGCACAGCCTGTGTCATTTGATAATCAAATTTTGTTTATCTATCATCTATTTAAGTAAATAATAAAAGCGTCTATATTTCTCTGGACAAGTTTTATTATACCGAAATTTTTATTATCATTTTAGTGTCTTCTAAGTTGAAATATTCTCAGAACAAACATATCGACACTACCAAGAACAAAACATGACTTTTCCTTAAATTTCAATGTGCAAAGTAATAATTAATTCCTACATACTATTATCACTTCCGAGAACGGAGAAAAAAGTTTTCCACTGAAAAGCTGTGGTAGAGTTATATGAAACTATGTATTATAGCAGTGTAATGTAGAGCAGGTATTGCATTATGAGAACGAATCCAACGGGGTGTGTTATCTCTGCCGAACACTGTTGTTATCAACTTCTGTTTTCAATTGTACCGTCCTTCTTTTTGTTATAGGTGTGCCCATGTTCAGATAGGGAAAGTTGCATTTCCAAGTTAATTTTTTCCCTCGAATCACGCCAACTGAAGTCTTATTAAATCACACTAGGAACGCGAGGAACGTTTATTACACCGTCGATACATCTTGCATTGGTGGCGATAGGAAAGGGGATTCCTCGTCCTGCCTTCAAAGTATTTCACGAAACGTTAGAGGTCGTTAAGGCTGAAAAGAAAAAACGAGAAAAAAACCCCGTTTCCCGAGAATAATAAAGTCTGCCGTGCCAAACCAGCGCGCGTGTGTGTTTATGTGTAAAGGCGTATCGTTAAAATCCCATCCATAACACGAGAAGCAAGTGCGTAGATGGAAAAGAAATCACCGAAAATCGCATAAAAAGTAAAAAATAAAAGGACAAAAAGTTAAAGGGAAGAGAGGGAGAGTTTGTGACTCTCGGCGACAAGAATATACAATAAAAGAACTTCTTACTCCTCGTTTTTCAATCGGGGGACGAGTAAGCCTGATGGGGTAACGTGACACAAGGTCCGACGGAAGGATGGCTGGAGAGCGGCGAAGGGGAGCGCATGCTATTACTACAGGAAGACCTAGAATGCAGAGGAATGGGGGGAAAAAATGAAAAAAAGTTAATATGTATTCTAAGGCGAATGTCGAAATCACGGTGATGGCTATACGGGGAGAGCGTTGTGAGGATTTTTTTCCCAAACAAGATTAAAGAGAAGCAATTCCAATTTAAAAAAAACAACATAATATGTTGTCTTAAGTATATTAAGTATTAAGCATATTAAGTTTTAATCATATTATACTTAAAAAGTAGATTTTGAACAAAAAAAGGAGTTCTAGGCCATTCAATGATATTACGACGTATGCTCGTTGAATTGATGAATTCTGTATTCTTCTTTCTATGTTTTTAATTTTAATATAATTTTAATGTTTTAAATAAGTATTCTATGTCATGGTGGCAGCTAATACTAATATAGTATAAACACATTATATAAATTATAAAAATAATATAATGTATTAACAAAAAAAAACCATAATTATAAAATAGTTATATAATTTAAATTAAACAAAATTAATAAGAACACAAACAAAGACATATGTACCTTAAATTAAAATAAATAGTTAAACAAAAAAAATTATGCATGATGTATAAACATAACGACAGTAAAATGTTTACAAACGCGTAAGTTGTCTAACTTTAAGAACTAAAAACAAGAAAAAGTCGAAGCGTTACAAGTCTGAACATATTTGAGTAGTAAACATATTTAAATGCAATCTGAAACATAAAAAAAATTTATTGTTATACAATTTAGAGTGTCAAATACTATTTGGCCTCAAACAGAGATGAGGCTTCAACGATTAGACATTTAATAGATTGTTTAATAGACGATGATGTCAATTTAGAGCAAATACAAAGTTTAAAAAACTTCAATAATTTTTTCTTATGTATTCATAACGCTATTCGAAATAGATATGCAAAATAATTTACATACAGAAGAGTTTTTAACAGAATTAATATTACGCCATCTTTAAAATAATAGGTCTAATAGTATTTTGTAAAAAAAAATTTCTATAAAAATCACTCTTCTTATTAAACCTACTTAGAATTTAGTAATAATTTAATTGGGTAATTAATTTTAATAATTTTTAAAATGAGTTGCCACTAAAAAAATGAATAAGTCCCATAAAAGAATATATAATTTTTAATTAAATAATAACACCTAGTTTCAAAATTAGTTACTTTAACGAAAATTTACAAGTGATTATTTTTAAATGTAGAAAATAAAGTAACCAATAAAGTATAAAACTCGATTTACATACCTGTTAATGGGTAAACATGTTTAAAATTGAAAAGGTGATAGTTTTAAAACGACCCAAAAGACCACAGTATTTGATAATCAAAATAATATTTTTATTGGGATGAGTTATCGAAAAAGGTATAAAAATTGCAATATACTGGTGAACTTTAGGGTTGTGTTATTTATAATTATTAACTTAAATCTAATTTTGATAGAACTATATACAAGGTGATTTTTTAATTATTATCCTTAGATACAGATTGACTTTTTATTTTAAATTATTTTGTTAGCGATTATAGACAAACTTTTTATTGATGGTTCAAAATGACGTTCTATTCATCTATATGTGTTAATTTATCCAGTATTATGATGTATATTATGATAAATATGTTTTGGAATAACTTTTTAAGTAACTAATTCAACTTAGCAAAATGAGCTCCATTCCCGGTGCATTATCTTCTATATATAAATAGCCGCCGAAATTAAAAACCAAATAAAAAACGGTAGCATAGTATGGTATATATGACATCATACTATAAGTTAAAAAAAGTTGTTACAACGAATTGTATTCTGTTTGTAAATGGACTACGAAATTAAACAATAACTGTTATTTTTGTTTAAAATATCATGTTTTTTTGTGTTAAAATGTTCTAAATAAATTTGTATTTTAAACTATTTAAATATATATTTTAGGTCAAACGGTATAGTCATATAGAAGAGATGGGTAAGTACTTCCAATTTACCCCCCTTTTTTTTACAATAAAAAAAAAATTAGTTATAAGAAGTGTTATTTATAAATATTTTCGGGAAGAATTTTTATAACTAATGTCAATCTAATAAATACATTATAAGGCCTTCCTTATAATGTACTTATTAGATACTCTGCCCTTTCTATAAATAATGTTCAAGTTACAAATGGTTTATGATAATTTACAATTCCAATTTCATGACTGAAACAATAATTAACTAATGAAGGTCAGAATAATCAAATTAGGAAAGTGAACATTCTTTTTCTTTTTATTTTCATAAACACATATTATCAATTTTGATTTACATATAATTAACAAAATATACAATTATATTATATTTTTTTTAAGTTTCTCTGTATAAATTACATTGTTAAATTATTGAATATTAATTTCATTAAAAATGTAATTACTAAAATAAGTATTATACTTATAAAACCATTAAATTTGTAATCAGAATAATAACCTAATTATCTACATTTTCCTGGCTATATTATAATAATGATATAGTAGTTAATTTAGTTTTAGATAAATTAACAATTCCTTCTAAAATTTAAACAATATTTACAAATTGTATTGAAGTGTTTTTTATGATACTGAATTTTTTAATCATCTCTTGTCCAACTATGCCGCGACCCCACTGTTTTTTTTTTTTTTATATAAAATTGCAAAAATGCCTTAAGAGGGGTATTAATTTGAAGATTGTTAATGGTCACTTTGATCTCCCATTTATTATGTCATTAAAAACCTTTATAGAAAGTTTTGGATAACTTTACGGTTCTTTTAACTGACTCCCTTTTTGTCTGTAGTAATGATTATTCATTTTTTTCAGTGCAGAAATGAAAACGTTATTATACTAGATGATAGCATATCTTGCGCTTGTAATGAAATTTTTTAGTCTTTATTTTATGAGCGTAAATTTTGTACGTTAAATAGAAAGATTAAACTTACGTACTTATTAATTAGAAAAAATTCATAATTTCAAATTTAATTTAATATGTACAGAAATTTCAATTACTTAATTAAATTTAACAAAATTCTTCTACTGTGGTGTAAGTTTTCTTAAGTTGTGGCATAAAAACTGAATTTGAACTGAAAACAACAATTTACAATCGTCAGCTTCACCTTAAGCTAATTAATTAACTGGACATTCCCATCAGACAACACAAACAGACATACCGTTATTTGTTCTATTGAATACTCATTTTAAGTTGGTTAATACATACAATGGTTTCTGTTTAGATGATAGCTGAATTGAAAAGAAATCCTGAATTACCTTTTTATTTTAACGCCTTATACAAACATATAACTATAACCAGTTTTAAATTAACAATAAGATATCGAACACTTATACTCGCGTAAAACAACACGACCATATTTTGCTGTAGACATTGATTTTTATATATATATTTTTTTTTCATTCATACCAATCACATAAAATACATACGTCTTGGAGTTTACTTTATTGGAAGACGAATAGCAAAAATAATACATAAAAATACATGTAATCGGAGAGATTAACTATATTGCGATTTTATAACCTCAAATAGTTTTAATTAATATGTATTTAAGAGTAATGTATGGGTTAAGTATAATTCTAGCAAAACTACTAGAAGTTATTTGAATTTACATTTATTTAAATAATTCGCAAACTAACTCGAACACATTCATGTAGTTATTTTCAAAAAATTTTAATTCTAACAGACACGTATTAGTATAATTATAGTTTATAAACATTATTCTTTCAAATTACTAATAAAAATTATTTATATTTTTTAGGTAATGCTCCCAAACTATGATAAAAATTATATCCAAGAAATTAGAAATTTCGATGTTCACATTTCACGGATAATCACAATAATAATTTGTACGATGGCATTGCTACTTACAGAGTAGTGTACTTAATGATTAAAAAAAAGAGTATCGAATATGAATTAACTGTAATTAATAAGGGCAATGTTTTAATTACTTTCTTTTAGACATTTATTCCAATCAACCTTTTCACATTGATAGCCATTACATGAAGTTGGTAAGAAATGGAATTTTTTTCGAGTGGAACAATATGCGCTTAAAGCATTTATAACAACAGTTGTGAGCGGTTCCATATAAGTACATATAGATATTATGTAGGACGAAATGGTCGAGCCTCGATTTTTATCTCGTGTCACGTCCTATGCAACATTAAACAGACAGACAGGATTTTTAATACTTACTCGGAATCCAAGGAAATAATAATAGCTAAACGGATTTAAACCGGTTATTACCACACAGCCACAGGAGGATGTTGGGGACAAATGATGAGATTTGCGGCTACAAGACGAAGACCACCATAGAATCATCAGCATTTGCGTCATCTTTAAAAAAGTCAGTTGTTCAGTTTTGAAGGAAATTATCGTATTTGTCATACGTTACATTTTTGTAAAACTGAATTTTATTATGTAATTAGTAAAAATACGGTTTCTTTTTTTTATGCATTCCATTAAAAAATTATATTTTTAACTTAACAAGATAATCTAAAGTCACAAAAGGAATTAGCTAGGAATTTCAAGTATGTTTTTAACGGTAATGGATTGAAAAACTATGTTTCTAAGAAAGTTACAGCAAAACTAAGACATATAATGAAAATAGAATGTTCTTTTAATAGTATGGTATTTTGAAGATCGTTGTACTTAACACATTTTTTTATTCTAATAAAAAATATCATTTGAGCTAAAGAGAAGAAAAATGTTTGATCAAAATATTTTTTAATATCTTCAATCATTTTATCAAGAATTTAAACGAAATATATTAAACTCTGAATTTTTTATTTTAAATCCCTGTTTGAAACATACTTTGTTGTTTACTTGTTAGCGATTTTTTAACAACCTTTTCATTTTAAGTAATTTTTTTATTAAAATAAGGTCAATCCATGTCAAATCACCAAGACATGGTTTTACGACTACTTTTCCTTAGGTTTTACCTAAATAAAATTGAAAATTGTTTTTTATGACTAACTATATAATTATGGCGATTTTATTTGAATAAAGTAAAAAATAACAATAATTTAAAATTTACAATACTTTTTAATTTTTTTAATTTTTATATTCATATTAAACTGTAAAAGCCATTGTAAAATTTAAAGACAAGTATGTCATACCTAAAAATATGTTCAAAAATCGGAAGAAACACGCTTTTTTGCTATGTAAATTCAACACTAGCTTCTCTTATTTTTGTTACAATTTCAACTGTAAATATAACTAATAAATATATAAACTATTACTCAATATATAGCTCATGATTTTTTTATAGTTCTGAGGAGTAATTAGATCAAATAATTAGTATAAAATTTAGTAAGATTTTTAGTTCATTTGCAAATTTTTATGTTAATTTCTAATAAAATTTACAAACATAAGTCTCGGCATGACTTAATCTTGTTTTATTATCTGCACAGTCAAATTTTAAAAAACTGCACTTAGATAAAATTGTACAACTTAAAGAAATCAACAGTATCTTATAAAAAGTAAGTCCTATAAATATTTAAAAACTATTATTAATATTAAGATATCAACATAGATTTTACGAGTTGTCTTAATAATTTTTTATTATTCTAACGAAAAAATATTTTTCAGAGAATAGATCATAAGAGCTTTTGGAACTCACTTTAATCGCCTTAGATTTGCTCTGCAGTTTTAAAAGAATACAGTACTAAAGTTTTTTAATATATTAAACAACCATTCTTTTTGAGAACTTTATTTTAAGGAAACAGTCGTTAAACAAAATCTTTATAAATGGTCAAGATAAAATTATTCTGGCTACAATATATTGTTCTATGGAATTGTAAAATATTTAAGTATTATATAATTAAAAAAAGTAATTTAACTCTTATGGATATTACTTATCATCCATCATTATTAATAGTTTATTAATTGGCAATAATACAAAAAATTACGGTGTAAGTCAAATTTAAAAATAAATAAAAACCAATTATATTAAATAGTTAAAAAAAAAAAACTTGTTATATAACATTGCTCGAATTTGTTTAATTCGTATGACCAATAATGACGAACTGGCAATACTTTAAGTGTTACGTCAAGTTTTAATGAAATAATACAAATAATTTTAGAGTGTGTAGTAGAAAAGTAGTAATGACTGATTTAAATTTTTTCGTTACACAAATTTGATAGATTTAAGCAAATAAAATTAAATTAAATACATCAATTTAAAATAATTATTTTGAAATTTTCTTTTCTATTTTAAATAGATGTTTGTAACTTTCAAGATGTTAGTGTCTTTAGTCTATAAAATTTCAATAAAGACGTTCAAATTTTCAAGAAACTTGAACCATTATTGGAATTTACTAAATATGGACACTCTTGACCCATCATGTCCTGATATTCTTCAATAAAAGTTAACCACGTTAAAAAGTTAAAGGTTTCGAGTTTACATAAGTAAGTTTTTTTAATTAGTTCCAAAGACAACCCTAGTTTACTTAGAGGCGGAAAGCCATAAAGACGCACATATAACTCCACAGCGTCTTAACTCTTGTAGACATTACTTATACTCACTACACATGAACCTCTGCAACTGTCCATAACAATCGAAGACGTGAGGCCAATCCTAATTGAAACCATCTGCCGTGTTTATAAACCACAATGTGTATAATCCGAAAAAAGCGTAGGTTTTTATATTATTTTTACTCTATCTGACTATAAGTCCGTCGCTCTCCATTCCCGTGGGCTCCGTCCACCGGATATCCTTAGACTTGTATTTTCCCATCGTCGGGTCGTCGACAATTGAACGAAAAAACATATAAAAGCAATAATTTGTTTGATTCTCTTCCCTTATGGTACACTGTTGTTTTACGATTTGTCCACTGAAACGATTGCATTGTCTGTGTCATCCCGTGCACGACTTGTATAATAATAGGTATGGTGATTTGTTTTTTTTATATAAAATGTAATGTATTTAGAATGTAAAAAGAAAAGTATAAGTTTGTTTTACTTAATTAAAAATAAACAATAAAATACCTTAACCTCAGTCAATTTTCATTAAAGAAACTAAACAAAAATTAGGTCATCCGAGGAACATAAATTTAAATGTTTCTTTTTTTACATAATTGTTTTTCGCGATAGAGCAAAAAAACACGTCCGTGTAACATGCATAGCTTTTAAAGGCACGTGAGCCTTTAGGTCGTGTATTCTGTGCACCCGAGCGCTTTTCATGGATTTTCGAGGGATAAGACAATAACGCAATGCTTGTCAATGCTTTTAATCCGTTTACGGGGTTAGTTTTAATGGATAAAAATAAAAAGACTGCGCCGGAGAATCTCTACAAGTGTCGCATTTCACAAACGTGTATGTGTATTTTTTTCTTTTCGGACAAGGGGCTTAAAACCAGCAGTGTATACACGGTATCTTGTTACCTCTGTGCGGTACGTTTACAAAACACATTGTCCGGTCTCCCAAGCATATATGACTGATGGAAACCTCTGACAACATTGTACACCGTAGTGATATCATTGTATGTATAAGATAAAGTGCTTATTAAATTATTTCGACACCGTTATAAAGTATAAAACGAATTATCTATACCTGCACCTTAAGATGTTTTAAAAATAGTACACGTGGTCGTTAAACAAAGGCAATAAAATTACATTTTTATGCGTTAAAAAAAAACCCAGAAGAGAAATTGGACACATCATGCATAATAATACGTGTAGCCTATGGATATGTGACTAATGAAAATTTTCAAACAAAATGGCCAATAACTCTTGAAAAGACTAAATAGATTTTCGAAATAATTAATGACATGACTTTTTTAGTATTGACTTGAATAGAACATTTTTCGACACATACTCTAACACATTTCAATTAGAATTTGTTTCACAGGAGTTTAATTTTATACTGATTGATCATAATTTTTATTATAATTGAATATGTGTTGTCATCATATTTTAAGTATCATTGTTTAACTTTTAATTTCTAATTCGAATAAATTACACTATTGGAGTAATAACTCTTTAAATAATAAATCCCTTTCCCCCGTCTTTTATCTGCTGAATTCTTTGATGAGTAATAACAGTTATTGAAATTATCTAATATGTTGTATCAGTAAAATAAAATAAAAACGATAAATTTCTACATAAATCGTTGAATCATCAGTTATAACTGATATTCAAAATCTTTGAATGCGCTCGTGTGGCATCTTACCTGTCAATTTGTATCTGTATGACGGCGCTTCAGTGAAATAAACTTACTTACTTGACAATTTAATGTTCGAGGATTCAATTGCGTCTACCCAAATAATTCATTTACTACTATTATAATGATGACAATATAGAGTTGTTGAAAATTATCGTAGGTAACACTCTAATTGAACTGGCAAAATTTTATTGACCATATAAGAGGTACAAAATTTCATATAAAAAGATTGCCCTTACGCTACGTAAAGTATTTATTTAATTCACAATCAAGCTGTCCATTGAATTACAATAAAAAAGCTATATAGGTTTATAAGTAAGAGTTTTTCTATGTATGATAAATTCGATCCATGTATTCTACTGCATATCACACATTCTCCGACCAATTAAAAAAAAAGTTTATACTACATTTTTTATGCCCATAAAAATGCATTTAAAAAATTCTATTTGTTATTATTTTTCCTCACACATGTACACTTGTATAAAAGTGTGCAGAATCTCTGATGCAGTACACGAGACAATTATCAAAAAGTATAAATACGAAAGACTGGCAAAAGGTATTTGATTGTAAGTGTTAGAACATACACAGGTTCTCGAGTCATTTTTTAATGATTGCAGTGAAACATAGGTCAGTGATGCTCGGTAAATATTTCAGTTGCTACAGAACACTGTTATTAAGTCATAGCATTTTACTTCTCCGAGAAGGAATCAATAAAAAATTGGCAATGATTTATATTTTTTCATCAAATTCATTTATCAAGTAAAGGTTTTGTTGCACTTACGATTTGTTATTATAGTTAAGATAACAATTAAATAATTAAGTGTAATCATTTTAGAAAAATTTAGAAAACAACAATTTTAATAAACTTTAGAAATGTTTAAACAAACATCATCGTTGTTAGTAGCAAAAAAACAATTTTTATCTAAAAAAAAACTTGATATATAGTTCTCTTTTATAAACTTAATTTTAATAGTTGAATGATAAATGCATTATTTATTTGTTTTTACATGACGCTTTTTAAAATTTTTCTTTGTAATAGTTGAGAAAATGTTCTTTTATGCATCACTTTTATTTAATTTTTTCTTTATTTCGTTGTATTCGTTGTATACGTGTTACGTCAAATATTTAAGTGAATAACATTTCCATCATATAGAAACATTTAATAATGAAGGTATTTGTTTGATATTTGTTTTCACTATTCATATTTTTCTATTAACTTTTTAAATAAAAACTTCTTTTCAAAAGCTCTAATCACTTTGGTCGTTCAAAAATTTGATGCTCATCAAACATCTGGTCTTTTTATAACGAACTAAAATCTGATTATTTAAAAGTGTTCATAAACAAATCCAATTGTAATAATGTAACATCCAATTATATTACATTATTATTTATGTGTGCGTGATATGAAATCCAAGAGAATTTTCCTGAGTTATCTGAAATTGTTTTATATATTATTTATCATTTATAATTCCCCATAGTAACCCTTATTAAAACGCATACCAATATTTTGCATGTCAATTTTAATTGCCACTAATCAAAATGGTGTCTAGAACAATAACACTGAAATGGAGTATTACTATTGAATAACATAATTGGTGGTGAGTTGTGAGATATGTTTGTAAAGGTTAGTTTTCACTAGAATTTATAATACTAAGCGACTAATATTTAATGTAATTTTAACGGCACAATGCGTCGTTAATTATTTATGCTCATGCAATCTGAAAATTTAATCAAATTTTATAGTTATTACGAATTTAAAAAGTAATCAATTTACCGTCGCTCTATTCAACGGACAAAGAGTTACAGTATATTCACACTGTAAGTGCAACAGGACCAAACCTCTAAGAAGATCGTCTTGAGATAAACGGTTCCAAAGTTTCAACTTTCCATAAGAGTTACACTGTATGTTGCTTTGTTTTTAACATTTGTATTAAGTTCAATTCATCTTTTATAAAAAGTTTCTTTCATATTTACACAGAGAATAATAAACTGTATGAATAACTATACGAGAATGTATAATATCTAAAATTTCTATGCACTCGTAGTACAAGTATTGTCGTTGTTTTGAGAAGTAGCGTGTATTTTGAGATCCACAATATTGTCAATTGAACAGGATGCGGGTCCCAAATGATCAAAAAAAGTCGTAAAAATGAACTGAGTACGCAATTGGGTCCCTTGAAATGTCATTATTATCTGTTAGTTTAATAAACCAGTCAGTTTTATTTTTATTACATTTAGCGCCCACATGATGCATTGTATTTTATAACAACTCCCTTAAATGTCCCATTAATTTAACAAGTGCAATTAATTAATCATCTTTTAAAAATCTGTATAGTTGTGATTTTTTTTCTGAACTTGAGTCATAGACAGCCACGCACTGTCAACAGATCTTTTAAAAAGAGATTTTTCAAATACACTTTAATTATTATAAATATCAAGTAGATTTTATTTTAAAATATCAATACAGTTTTAAATAATGAAAAACGTACTTGACATTTATTTTAGCAGAAATTATTAGGCATCACTTTTATAAGGCCAGAAAATAATATAATTTCATCCTTATAATGAGATAACCATATATATGATACACAGTATTAAAAATAAGACATTATAGAATGAACT